TCACTACGCATAGCGACTCAGTCGCCTCACGTCTCGCAGTGGATGGCCCGGTGGCTCTCCTTCTTTGCAAAATGTAACTTCAAGGTAAAGTAAAACCTTGAAAGCAGAATGCTTTGGCTGATGCGTTGTCACACAGAGCAGGTTATGAGCTTGCTCATGTTACAACGGTGACGTCATCCGTGACGGATTTGATCTACGCCGCATACGCGGGTTATGATATGTGCATAGCGCTGCTACGGGCCCTCGAGAGCGAGGAGTTTGGAGACTCGGACAAGAAGTTGTACGTCGCGACTGCGTGAACGGTTACACTGAAATTCATTTAATAATGAATTGCTGTATCATAGTACCGACTCCACGAATCACGGCTCCTGACGATAAGGATTTGAAGTACCGTATTCTCTATTAGGCCCACGACATCCCACGCAGTGATCATCTCGGTCGTGAGAAGACCAACTGCTCTATGAGTTGCCACTACTGGTGGCCTAAGCTGTACAAATGAACATACATATGTGTTCACGTATGAGACGTACCAATGGGTGAAAATCTCTTTGAATGCGGCGGCGCCGCAGGGTAAATACTGGAGGCCTAAGCTGTACAAATAAACAAGAACATATGTACTCACGTATGAGACGTGTCAAAGGATGAAAACCTCTCTGTATGCGGTGGTGCCACCCGGTACCCTCTGGTTGTTGGCAGTTCATGAGTTTGGACTTTATGTTTGGCCTGCCGATGGACTCGGCGGGCAATACGGGTGTCGTGGTCTTTGTCGACCGTTTGAGCAAGATGAATAATCTTGCGTTGGTGTCAGACACCATCGCAGGTGTAGGTACAGCAACACTGTGTGTGGATCGTGTCTTTCGACAATATGGGCTTCAGGGGTCAATTGACTCTGACCCACGTTTCACTGGAAAGTTTTGGTCGATGATCTTTAAGGTGCTGGGGACCAAGCTGGATATGTCAATATTGGGTCATCTGCAGACCGATGGTCAAACTGAGCGCGTGAGTCGCGTCATCGAGGACGTCATTTGCAGCGTCTGCGCCGAGAATCCGAGGCCCTGGAGTGCCATACTGTCACTCGTAAGTTGCTCTGAATAGTGCAGTGCATTCGTCTACTGATCTGTGTGAACGCTCGTTCATCCTCGTGTACCGCTGACGCCGCCATCTAATGGTTCACGGCTTGGTGGAGGAGGTTATAGCCGAGCGGCTAGCTGATGTCAGCCAACTCACTGTTTGTAAGGAAGTCGATGACTAAATGACCACCTGTCTACCAGACTGAGTGTCTTGCGACACGTTCGCGATGCGATGGCTGGAAGCCTAGACATGCAGAAGGAATATGCAGACGGAACAGGTCGAGAAAATATTAAACGTTTTGAGGTCGGAGACCTAAATGGTCAAAAGCTTCGTACCCACGCAATTTCGGCTGTCTCAAAGACGAATCTCTGTCCACTGTTTAGTGGACTTTACAAGGTTGTGGTCAAGCACGGACTTGTGTATACGCTAAACCTTCCAAACGTGATGTGCACTCACCATCCAGCGTAAGCGAACTCGGGAAGTGTTGGCGCCGGAGCGACGCCCACAGGCACTCGACCTCCCAGAAGCTGGGCCAGCAATGGGTTTGAGCACGGAGTTCAACAATTTTAATCCCCATCGGCGCTAAGCGCTCAACCGCATTAAGCGACGCATTCGTCTGCTTAACGGCTAGAAACCGCATTGACAGAACGCGATAGTCCTCAACGTGAGACAGCCGGTGCACAACGTGCTCCAAGCTCTCTAGGTCTCCCACGCAGCGTTATGCGACGACAGCATGAAGCTCGGAAAAGTCATCATCGCGGCGGACTTCGCCTCAAGAGATCGAAGTTCATCGCGAGTCACCGGACGGCGATTGACCCAGTTGTCATCGTCCACCGCCGACTCTTCTCGACGAGATTAATGAAGTCCACTATCACGTAAGACGTCTTTTGGGTCGACGTCGTCGACAGGGTCAAATCCAGAATCTTCGAAGCGGCGGGGATACCCCGACTTTGAGAATTCGTGGGGGTTTGAAGTGCTACTTCGGCAAGACTGCCCAGACGCCGTGGACGCTTATAATCAGAGTGATGTTGACGTACCCCGTCGTCGTATGCCCAGAACTTCCCGTCAATAGCTAGGAAAGCCGAAGGGCCATGCGCTGAGCTCGAGTGATGACCCTGAGCAGCTGCGCTCGCTGCCTCACCCGTGTGAGAGTCCACGCAGCTTGCGGGAGCGTGAAGGATCAACACATACGTTGCAGGGCGACAATCCGACGAGTGCGGAAAAACGGTACGGCGTCTGCAAGGTTTGAGCTGGGCTAAGGTTGCGCCGCTGGGGCACATCGCCCTCAAGGAAAGGAGCATCCGACTCGAAGTCGACTTCCTCCAAATCCTCGACGAGGTAATCCGTCGCCCGTGGCGGGCGTGGTGCGCTGTCGGGATTTGACGACGCGTCTGTATTTTTGGCCGTTCGAACGAGAAATTCAGCGACACGGGTTTAGTTATGCAAACTCGATCCGAGGATTGCGTTCCACGCGCGCGTCCACCTCCTTGTGGCTCAACTGTTAATTGTACAGCGAGGGAAGTTTCCGGTGCCGCTGCACCCATCGCTCAAAGAGCTCTTCGTCATCTCCAGCGGTTTTGCCAGGGGCGAGCACCACAGGAATAATCTGCATCGCGGGTACAGGAGCGCCTTCGCTTTGTGCACAAAGTCGATATCAACCGGGATTTCTGGAGGAATCAAGAAGCGAGCTCGGAGAGCTTATCGTTCGTCAGGCTCATCTCGTGTAGCGGCCGGGGGCCTGATCATGTAGACGCCAAACGATCGAGTGATCGCGTCCCTTGCTTCTGTAGCGTAAGCGCCCAGTGAAATCCGTATTCTACATGAGGGTCATGAAGCGACCGTGAAAGCGCGCGCATGGGGGCCACCCTGCGGACAGTATCTAGCTGCTGCTTCTGTGCCTCATCAAGGTCATTGGTAATTACATCACCTCCTCCGGAAGTCGAGAGTTCGGAAATCATACATTGCGTCCTCAAGATTCGAGCAGGGCTCACGTCGTACCGGTAGGGCATCTCACCCGCATCTTCTTACCATCATGGGAAAGGAGTATTCGACTCGTTGTGACTTCCTTCAAATCCTCGAAGAAGTAATTCATCATCCATGGCGGGTGCAGTACATTTCGAGAGTAGATACCGCGTCTTTATCTTGGTCATGCGAACCTATCGCTGACGATTTGCAACAAATGCTTTTATTATCCAGCATAATAATACTTAACCGTTTAACAACACAATTTTCTCAAAAACGGCGACTAAGATGGCATCGAGTACCGTGCTGTATTGTAAGCCTAGCAACACAAATGGCTAGCTATCCTGCGAACAGTGCTCTATCGATATCTCGAAGACATCGTCTGCAAATGCCCTGTGCGGCACTCGGTTACCGAGAGCTTGAGCTGCGCTTAACTTGAAGCCGCGGAAGTGCTGTCTGAAGTTGCACCCCGTGCTGGAGACGAAGAAGGGCTTTGCCCGCGGGTGTTCTCGGAACCAGCGAGGCTTGCTGTCTTCCGTGTCCTCGACACAGGGCTCATTCAGTATAGAATTCGTGAAGAAGGTCCTGGTGATGTTGTGGTGTCTTAGACGCGCGAGCATCGCCCGACGACAATTGCAAAGTAGCTTGAGATGCTACAACGCGGTCTATGTGCTCTTGCTGTTTCTAACAGCGTCCGAATTGAGGAGCGTCATGATTAACAATATCGGGCAAAATGCATTGTAGATGGTCCTGCCGTTATTATTCGTGTGACCAGGAGCAAAGCTGTCTATGGTGACATGATGTTTCTAGGAGCGTTGAAATTGTTGAATGTGAAGTGTAAATGCTCACAATCTTGATGGGGGTGAGTGTAATCGGGTCACACAAGATGGTGTGATCTCAATATCGTGGCTACAACAAGGATATAGGCGGCTTTGCCGCAAATAAAACTAAAAAATAAAGATTACGTTTTATACGGAAGAGTTAATTAGCCTTGGGTAAGGTTGTTATTACTCTTTGAGTAAGTGGATTGCAATCCGCTACATTCTTACTTATTTTAAGTATAGAACGAAGGTCGGTGACCTTGTTAGCTTCATCTAAGCGAAAGAGCTACGGCAGACTGCTGCAACAAGCCACAACTAATGCGGCATCTGCTGCTAATGTCATGCAGACCTCGTTTCAAGAGGCAAGCAAGGTATTTCTGATTAATTCAATCACAATGCTCCGAGATTCGACCCAGCACTTCTCCCGTCACCGTAGACTGCATGGAAAAAGCTGCTTGATGTCTGTGCGGCTCCTCCCATGGATCGAATGTTCTCTTTGTCTCACCACATTCTTTGCGAGGTACACACCCCGTGCCCGTAGCTTACGAAGAGTGTGATACAACCTCACTCCACATAATTCCACGATGAGGTATCGATGAGCTAGGCCAATGCAAGGCCGTATAGCGAGAAAGATGACTGGTCATCTTCACTTCATGCTCGAAAAAAGTCATTTGCACCCTGCCAGAGCTTAACCTCGCACCATTGTATAGTCCCTATAAACTCACGGATTTATCTCATTGCTGTATGTCGAGAAGGATTCTGGACTTCTTGGGAGTGGTGCGGGGTCATAATTACTCTTTGAGCGACTTTGAGCGCACCTTGCGCTCTCTGACTGATCAGAGGGTTCAATTGTATAGGTATATGAGGGCTCCTCCTCCATGCAACGGGCGACTTTCGATGGACCAGCCTTCTAACTACGAGGGATTTTACCTTTGCATTACAATACTAGCTCTCGCTGCGACAAAAAATCAAACTATATACTACAGCTCAACTTAATGCTTGACTTTGTATAGCACAAACTATGATGTTGACGTCAAGATGGGTCAAGCTTTAATCCTCACCTCCAATTCACTCGGCAAATTGCAGGATTATAGAAGGAGACACCTAGCTTGCCAACGATTTCCTGCAAGGACGACCCACAAGCTAATGCCTCCTGTAAGACCCATCGGTTGTATTGGTACACAAACTATCCCCGAAAGTATTGACTTACGCGTCTAATTCTAATATAAGTAATTTTGCGTTAAGTAGCGCATTCGGACCTCAGAGACGTTTTAAGCGCCTTTTACCAAATTGCTACTCCGGACCAGAAAGTTGCTCGGCTATATGGTATTTATTGTCTCAAACATATAAGTTTTTTTACATCGAGTGACTCGTGAGAGCGGTGCAATTGTACACATGATGCGTTTGCATTTCCTTCGAAATTAAATCGACAGTAAAACGTACAATGCAGCAATAGCGTTGACTAGTCTTGATGTCATCAACGCTGTATGTGATGACGTTTAATACCCACAGTGTGTTTTGCATACTATTTGTTGCTTTTGCATTCCCTCAGCGATAGCGTCTTACTTACATCTGGCACACGACGCTTTGTTCTTTGCTGAGTTTACTACGAAATGTAGCCAGATTAGAATTCACAGGTTAATCAGTATTGACAACCGTACCCCACCTAGTTCTGAGCCACTTAGTGAATATGACAAAGGGACACGGGAATTCGATAAAACATTTGTAAGCAGAGGTATTTCGTCTGAAGAGACGCGAACACCGTTATTCAACGCGCGATCAAAGTGCAAAAGTATATCTCTCTACTACCGTGACCTTCACTTGATAAACGCAAAAAGATATTCTGAAATTGAATATTGACCAATGTATCACTTGGTCAACCCATCAAACAAGTCAATAATTTTGATCTCCATGGTATTGATGCATTTGATTGACTAGGATGCGAGACCTGGCCAAAGCTACTCCACAGTTAAAAAAAGCATCAGCAAGAGAAACATGGTGACGCTTTTCTGCGCGGTTGTCGGTGTGAAAGGAAATGCGTTCAGTGTGGATATCGACGCTAGCCAGTCGGTGGACCACTTAAAGAAGGCCATCAAGAAGAAGAAGAATTATGATTTTGCTGCGGACAAATTAGAGCTATATCTTGCGAAAAAGGGCGAATCGTGGCTGACTGAGAATGAGGTTAAGCATAGAAGTGACATAAGTGGCCTGAAACATCTTAGAGCCGCGCGAGCTAGACTACACCGCATCGGGCTGTCTGATGATCAAATAGTAGAGGAAGTTGATGAAATTGAGGAAGATGCAGGAAATGGCTCTGTGAATGTGTTGGTGGTTGTTCCGACCGAGATGAAATATGCACTGGCTGCAAATCGAAGAGCCGCATCATCAATAGCAATCTCAGCAGCTGAACCGACGGAAGTCTTCGTTACAATTGAAGAAATCCGAGACTCAGAGAGAGATTAGCAAAAGTTGATGTACTATTAACGTCGTGGACGTCTTATCGGATACAAATGCCGAGATTATTGTGCGCACATTTTGGACAAAGTCGACGAGTTCTATGACATGAACGAACGGCCGACCCCGTTCATCTACGTCGGAGGGTCATCAGGCATGGGGAAATCGCAACTTGCATTTGCATTGGGTGGCCGACGACCGAATTTTTACTGGTTAGCCACTCCAGTTGGATCCGGTTCTATACGTCTTTATAGCAATTTTACCTCAATATCGAACGCGTTTGCTGCGGTGGTTGAAAAAGATTTTCCAGAGAAGAAAAAAACGGAGCTTGTGCTAAACTGCATATCAAGCATTTATCAGAATGATCTGCTTTGGACCTATGGCTTCATTTGCG